TAGCAGTGTAAGACAGAGGGAAGGCAGCTAGTCATCACCACCCACCGCCAACTCTTGGGCTACTCTTTTGCCAACAAATAGTGGGATTGACCATCACATTATAAGACCCTCACGGCTGAAAGAATGAGCATGTTTGGTGGGACAGGGATTCAAACCTGTGACCCTCAGATTGCAAGTCGAGCACCCTAACCACCTGGCCATGCAGGGCCGAGAACAAAAATACTATCAATGTTAGAAAAAAAAAAACTAACTAATTCTGTTGGGGCCTCCTACATATTTACACATCAAGTTGCTTGTAGGCCCATGACTCTTTTGGTTACAGTAATAAAGTGTGAAGCATAAAAAGTAAATGAAAACAAAAATACTATCAGTGTTACAAAAAAATCTAACTAATTCTGTTGGGGACTCTACAGTCAGTTCATTAACTCTTTCACTGCACTTTTTTCAGGCTGATTCCCAAAAAGTCAATTATCCACCAAAAATAAAAGTACGAATTTGACCATTTATATTACTTTTTATTGGACAGTGAAAAATAATGATTTAAACAAAAAATTTAGGAAAATTGGAAGAAAAGTATTCTCCAGTAAATGGTATAAATATAGGCAAAACTAAGTAAATAAGAGGCCGAAATCTTTACAAAATATAAAACAAATTATTTAAATAACAATATCCAAGATATAAAGAAGCGGTCTTTATATAGATTCTACATGTGCTCATGCAAAGTTGGCAATTTTGTAATGAGGCATATAAACATCCAGGTTTCACAGCATAAAACACAGATGGCAGCATGTATGCAGGTTTGGCAACTGTTTCAAGTACAGGGGGAAACTTTTTCTGTTAGGGGTGGGATAAATCTGAATTTTGCAGTCAGTGAGTATAAATGTTTATTGGGATATATCCGAACAGCAAAAAGGTTAAACTGGGTGTTTTAACAGACCAAAATGTCAAATTTGATATAATGCAATATGCATGTGGTAACTTGAGAAAAGTACCTTATTAGCAATATCTAGCAAGTTAATCCTTTAGATAAGTAGATAGAGCATCAGTCTGGAATCCATGAGGTCCCGAGTTCAATCCCACTTGAAGGTATTGCAAAAATTACTTACCACATGTGAAGTAGCTGGACCCTACTGAATCCCACTTGAAGGTATTGTAAAAATTACTTACCATATGTGAAGTAGCTGGACCCTACTGAATCCCACTTGAAGATACTGTAAAAATTACTTACCACATGTGAAGTAGCTGGACCCTACTGAATCCCACTTGAAGATACTGTAAAAATTACTTACCACATGTGAAGTAGCTGGACCCTACTGAATCCCACTTGAAGATGTAAAAATTACTTACCACATGTGAAGTAGCTGGACCCTACTGAATTCCACTTGAAGATACTGTAAAAATTACTTACCATATGTGAAGTAGCTGGACCATACTGAATTCACTTGAAGGTACTGTAAAAGTTACTTACCACATGTGACCCTACTGGTAGTGAATGGTTTTATTTTTGTTTGTTTATAGTTAAGCACAAAGCTACACAATGCCTTATCTGTGCTGTTCTCTTCCCAGGTATCAAAGCCCAGCTTTTAGTGTTATAGGCCTTCAGACTTACCACTGAGGGCATAGTTAATGAAATTAAACAAGTCAGTATTTTGAAGGTTAATGCTGCTAATAATGTTGAAAACAGAATCTTAACTCGACATACCAGTAATGTAGTAATATACTACAAAGTATTTCTTGACAGTCATTACTATTCAATAACGTAATTATTTTACATTTATTTTGAACAATCCCATTTAGATCGCATTTTACAGTGCGAGCTCTAGCTACAAATGTTATATTAATGAAAATGATAATTACTTATCCAACAACTAGAAAGGAATTCAGAAAATGCACACAACCATCACTCCACAATGACTTTGACTCTTGCAGTAACCAACCTAAAACATATATTAAACAATTTTTCACCCTGAAAATACAGGTCTAGATCCTAAGATACTCTTTTTATCTCAATTTGTTCTTGATTTTTTGGCTATTTTTAAAAATTATAATTTGCTATCTCTATAATTGGTTGACCTTCAATATGACCTTGACCTTTGAATTTCATTCACCTAAAGTTAAAAATTGTCCTTAAGGAGTTATGCTTTATACACATACACACACACACACAGAGGAGTGAAAACAATACCCATTCCCAAAGACTTTGAGCAGGGCAAATAAAATACAGGAAATGGAAGAATCTCAGTTCCACATAAAAGCACTGGCATACGATTTTACTTTTTACTTCACTTGTTCTTACATCCTAGTTACCTCCGCCATTGGAGGTGGACAGAGGTTACGTTTCACCCCTGTGTTTGTTTGTTTTTTGTGTGTGCACGTTTGTCAGTAAGATTTCTCAAAAACGTCTGAATGGATTTGGATGAAAGTTGGTATATTTGGACTATGAACCAACTTAGAGGTGATTAGTTTTTGGAGGGTCAAGGTCAAAAGTCAAAGTCACAGCAAGGTCATGAAAATACAAAAAATCCATATCTGTTAACATGGGGATCAATTTTCACATTAATTTTGCTCTATAACTCAATCAAAAATGATGAAATTTGGTGGATATGTGAAGATTGCTATTTCTCATTGTTCTGCCAAAAATGAACGTACAGACACATTTTTGTACTTTTTTGAGAGCCGAATATGATCAATGCTGCATGGCGTAGGTATGAGCTCTACTGAGCACCCCTCTAGTTGTTAACTGTGATCACTTTGTTTACACCAAAGATTTTTGAAAAGAGAGCACTAACCAGTGAACTGGGAAGGTTCTTGCCTTCTAATACTATCTCTTTCCTTATGCCATTAGGAAGAAGAATATCTTCAGTAGTGACAAAGCTAGGACAGTATCGTCTTCCTTTGATGAGTGAGTTTTGTGGATTCTGTAGACAAGAGACATTGGACTTGGTCATTTAAAACCACTCACAGGCATAAGAATCACACATGTCACAGACAGACAAAATAGTTATAATACCTATACAGAAGCTGGTTTTAGGAGAAATTTTAGATATTAGGCCTATAATTAATATCATATAATGCAGTAAAGTACTGTAAAGAGAGCACTCTGTACTTAAAAACAGAATAAAACAATTCTTATTACTTAAAGCACAGATGCATGAATAAATCTTTAACTTCATGTTAACACTTTGCAGTACTTTCTTCTTGTGGTATATTTTAACATATGAATTAAAAAGTAAGTCCAAAGTGATATACAAGAAATAAAATGTGCAAGCTACAGGACAAAAACTGACCAACTCCAAAAAGTAAATTAATATTTATATGAAAATTAAATGCAGTATTAAGTAGACAAGTTTAAACAGCAGAAAATTCTCACTAATTACAGCAGTTACAGTAACTATATATTAATAAGTCCTGAAGAAGAATAGTCAAGTATTCGAAAGTGCTCGAGTTTTGGGTCTTATTTTAAGTTTATTACACTTTATATGTGATCCTTCGTGCTAACTCTTTTATCAATATTAACAAGTCGTGTACGACAAAATACATACATTCTCTCCTGTGATTATGGTCCGTAGACAAGAACTGGCATTGTGCATGCAATTATTTTCATGGAGACACCAGCTACAAGCCCAAGAGCTAGTCACACAAGTGGAGCACCTAATTCAAAAAAGTGTCATAAAATTTGGTGTTTAATACTATACCATCTGTTCAAAGAGAGTTTGATGTAGCTTAGGAAATATCGAATATTTACATTCATGATTGGTCTTGGTACACTGTACCTTGAAGGTCTATTTGTACAGAAATTAAAAAAGCATTAAATTATCATGTTATTTTTGAAAATTGTTAAATTACATGCAGTTTCATTACTGCATTTCAAAATTTTTAATCTTCAAAATTATTAAGAAAATCAGACAGAAATAAACACTATAATAAAGTTATACCATACAACTAATAAAAATTAACCTATCACTGTCACAATGGATACTATACATATAGATAAATGTGAAATGGCAATTACAATGCACTAATATAAACGTTTGCATCAGTTTACTATTCTGTTACATATATTTTGCAACCTACCTTTGGATTTCTATAGAAGGCACAGCTATACAGTCTTAGTTATCAATTGAATCATAACACAATAAGTTTCAAATCTACTTTATCTGGCAACATTTGGATCTTTCCAACATATATTTACAATCTACTTTATAATAAAGGATGATCCAATAAAGATTAAACTGTTCCTTATGTCTCCATTTAACTTATATTGGGTCACCTGGATATATTATAAGATAAAGTTTGTTTTTTTTTTAAAGAAAAGAAAACTTTAACAAGTTACACTTACGTTTCATGAACAGAGCAGTCATAAAATGCAAAAGGTTTATGAAGAAAGTTTGTGTTGGTCTCACTGGAGCGAACAGCTAGGTCTACTATTATGTGATCTGTCAAGTGAGATGTTTAGAAATCCTTTAATTTTTGAAATATAGACTAAAAATACCACTACTAAAATATAATGACAATCAAAACTGTTACAATAATCAAAATACGATCAAAGTAATTTTACTTTCACATAATACTAATGTCCTTAACACATCTATTATAATTAATTTGACTATTTAATTTGGCCCCCATAGCTATATACATGCGTTTAAAACTTTCCTAAATGAGCTTTTCGGAAAAATATTATGTTCTTGCCTCCAGCTACCATATTTCATATTTTAAGTTATTTGCAATAAATTAATTTTAATACTAATAATGTTTACCTTTTCCTGGTAAAATGGGGGGACGATCCTCGGGTTTTGGTGTCATGCATGCTAATCCAGTTTCTGTCACCTGAGCTTTAATGGTGGCACTATTCCCAAACACACACAGATAATGTGCTCCGAAAGGTAAGTTTGGAAGTTGGTTGATAACTAGCTCCACCTTGTGAGAATAATAAAAAAAAAGATCACCAAACTGTCAGGTACTAAATAAGTGTTCTCTTCTTTTCCAACATACACACACTTACAACTACAATAACGTATGTGTTATCGTGGTGAGATACTACGATAAAAAGATGATTAATTGCAGTCAAAACACATACACACACACACTAACAGAACATTTTAACCGATGACTTAATTTAAAATTACTGCTGACCCCATTCTACTTGCCATCACTAATCAATTATCCTGACTGATGAACGTACATATGACTTCCATAGTTTCCCTACAGCATACACATGTTGTCCTCAACTTGTTTTCCTTACACAAACTTTAAACATTACCACTGCAAGATCTTTCCTCCAGCATTTTAATACAGTTTAATAAATTGATTATCATTTTTTCTTATTATGTGTGTTTAAGTTTAGGGTTTAAGTTATGACTGACGTTTATCCATCAAGGTCGTGTTGGGTTTAAGTTATGACTGACGTTTATCCATCAAGGTCGTGTACAAACTTTAAACATTACCACTGCAAGATCTTTCCTCCAGCATTTTAATACAGTTTAATAAATTGATTATCATTTTTTCTTATTATGTGTGTTTAAGTTTAGGGTTTAAGTTATGACTGACGTTTATCCATCAAGGTCGTGTTGGGTTTAAGTTATGACTGACGTTTATCCATCAAGGTCGTGTAGGGTTTAAGTTATGACTAACGTTTATCCATCAAGGTCGTGTAAGGTTTAAGTTATGACTGACGTTTATCCATCAAGGTCGTGTAGGGTTTAAGTTATGACTGACGTTTATCCATCAAGGTCGTGTAGGGTTTAAGTTATGACGGACGTTTATCCATCAAGGTCGTGTAGGGTTTAAGTTATGACCGACGTTTATCCATCAAGGTCGTGTTGGGTTTAAGTTATGACTGACGTTTATCCATCAAGGTCGTGTAGGGTTTAAGTTATGACTGACGTTTATCCATCAAGGTCGTGTACAAACTTTAAACATTACCACTGCAAGATCTTACCTCCAGCATTTTAAT